GCCCTCCTGGCAACACTCCCAACTTCAGGTCAGTACCAAAACCTTGCCTAGCAGCTCATCTCACTCTTCTTCAAGTCTTCTGCCTCCAGCACACCCAATCTCCAGTGAAACTGGATGGTTCTGTAAGTTTGCATGCAGGTTATTGACGGTCCCCAAGCTTTCAGGTGTTGCCACTTCTCCCATCTATGCATCCAAACCAACGGATATGAGAATGGGAATGTCAGCACTGAGCCACGAGCAAAAAAGGATAAGACAAATAAAAGGCAATGCAGCCTGAAAACGGCAGTGTGTGGCAGACGCACTACTGTAAATGATGCATGACACACTCATCCTCATGAAGTCTTTCATCTTCTGTCTTTTCTGGGGTTGCTCAGAGCCCTTTGGCAAGCAGGGATGTGTGTGGCTGCACTAGGCACACAGCCCCAAAATCTCTCCCTTGGGCTGGGAAACTTAAAAATTAAGAGATCTTCTCATGAACTGAAGACAGAACATAAGTGCTAAGAACACATCTTTGCTCAGTTTGAGAGACACACAGACCTGAAGATGGATGGAAGTGCATAGCTGGGGCCCAAATCTTCTTTGTTTGTTTGTTTAAATTGAGATTAAAACCAAATTTAGGGTCCTTCTGAGCTGAGTCCTCTTTCCCAATCTCCTCCAGACACAATGAGAAATGCAAGGAGGAAAAAGCGTGCATCGAAGAGGGAAGGGAGCTCTGATTGCTTCCCTGCCTCAGGCTGCAGTCCTGGGGGGCTTTTAGGCAAGTTTCTGAATGGGAAATGGAGAATTTAATTGCTGCATTGGAGGATCCGTGGCTGTTTTGAGTACAAGCTGCTGCAGAGTTTAATCACCTCACTGTTTGGGGCTTTATGTTTTCTCTGCTGAACACCTGCAGCACTGGTAGCCTTCTGACATACATACTAAATATGTTAAAATAAATTCCCTTCAAGTACCTCTGGCTGTCCAAACTCAACTCTTTGCTTTAGGGTTGTAGGATTAAAATGAGACCAGAAATAAGAATTCTGCCCCCTACCACAACCCATGTCCTGCTCAGAGCCACATGAAGACAGGCAGTGAGCTGCCTCCGGAGGATCTACGAGCCGCTAAAACCACGTACTGGCTTCATTAAGCATCAGGACTGGGCAAACTGTTACACTACAGTTCTGAAGAGGAAGCACATGCATATGCCCTGCAGCCAGCAAAACCAGCACATCAGCACCAGAGCAGAATGCAACAAGGTCTGAATCTTCTTGGGTGCACCTTACTGCCATTTGTGTGGGCTGGATGTGTCGTTTATTTGGTGTTTTGCTTCATTTGCTTCCTCTCACTTTTATTCACATAGGTGAAAAAACTGCCAGGGAATTGCATAGCAACAAGTGAGGTTCTGTTGTCATCACCTGGATGTCAGTTAGAAACCCTGAATGTGGAGATGCGGAAAGAGGAGGCTGAAGTCTCCATCCCACACCTGAACCATGTCTTCTCCTTCATGACTTGTTCTTTGTCCTGCTGCTGGAAATCCTTCTGAGATGAATGTATGCACACCGTCTCACTCAAACCCCAGTGCAGTCTTTCCACCTGTTCAGAGCAGAAATATAATGCAAGTCCCTTTTTCCCTCTTACCTCACTCCAGGAGCACAGCTCCCAGGCAAGGTGCACAACAGCATCTTCAGCACTGCTATCCCACTTAGCAGGTGACATGGGCAGGCTTTCATTCCTTGAAAATACGTGCAGACATCTCGAGGGACAAGCAAACCACCAAGGTTACACAGCACGAGGTCACTGCAGTGTCACTGCTGCCAGGAGGGGCAGGCAAGGCTGAGATGTGGCTGTGGGCACGGCAGTGGTGATGCTCTGCAGGTTCTTCTGTTTGCCTAAGTTCTCCTAATGAAGTGCTACAGATGCAAACACTTGCAGAAAGGAAGCTTTTAAACCTGCACAAACAGAACGCTCACTTGGAATCTTCGTGTTTTTCTGCTGCAGTGCTATTTAATGTGAGATGGGAACAACTTGCATAGCACAAAGGCACTTCAAATTCGAGGGCAATCTACCTACATCTGTTCCAAGGGCAAGCTTGAATGACTACACACACATCTTTACATTAAATTATATTTGCACCCAGTCACATCAAACCCAGTACAGAGCCAGAATCTTTTAATCGCAGGATCCCATGCAAGCTAAGGAATCTTACCCAGAAACTGATGTGGTCAGAAGAAAACTATACCTAAATAAAAGATAAAACTGAAGAGAACAGATATATTCTGTAGCCCTGATAATCTCATTTTTCACCCAGAGGGTGGTGAGGCACTGGCACAGGTTGCCCAAGCAGGCTGTGGATGCCCCATCCCTGCAGGCATTCAAGGCCAGGCTGGATGTGGCTCTGGGCAGCCTGGGCTGCTGGTTGGCGACCTGCACACAGCAGGGATTGGAACTGGATGAGCGCTGTGGGCCTTTTCAACACAGGCCATTCTATGGTTCTATGATTACCCATGAAAGTGTCAGAGATCAAACAGCCCCACTCATCGCTCTTGACAGCCCAGCAGGGAAACCATACAATGGTGATTCTTTACACCCAAGCACAACCAAGTACTTCCAAGCATCAACCAAGCCTGCTGCTAGAGCCAAATGGTAGCAAAGCTTTGAGGGGCTCTTCCATGATCCACACAGGGCTTTGTCTCGTTATACTGCAATTAGCCTCAATCACCTTGGCTGCAGGTGCTGTGCTCTGGGATCACAGTCAGGCAGTGCCTGCAGCCACCTCCATCACAGTGAGGCACCAAATCTGCCCTCAGCCACATCTCTCCCCCCCAGCTTCCCTCTAAACTTTGTATTTAAGCACAAAGCTCAGCACTTTGTGATTAAAGTCAGAGCAATTCCCTGCACCCAGAAATCTCTAGTGCATAGTTGTTATACAAGAACAAAGCATTGGTTCAAGATCTGAGAGAATTGGATGTTCCCCATCAAAAGACACTTTTTCCCTGCAACAAAATGAAAGCCATTTCAGCATCAGCAGCCTGGTCTATTGGAGGTGTCCCTGTGGCAGGGGTTGGGACTGGGTGGGCTCTAAGCTCCCTGCCAATCCAAGCCACCCTATGATTCTATGATTCTACACCACCACATAGATGAGTACTTACAGGCTCCTAGCATGATTTCAGCAGCCAGGAGGCGGATATACAGGTTAGTGAGATGGATGTCTGGAAGCTGCAACAGGTTAAGGCTCTTATCAGGGACCCGGAAAACATGGCATTTAGAAAAACTGGAGAAAAAACACACCTGTCATCAGAGCAATATTGCTCATTCTATAAAGACCTGACCGAAGCTTGCTGTGCTCCAGCCAAGTCCCAGAACTTGGCAACAAGCACACAGTTACCATCCAAAACCCCCAAACAGACATTTCTGGAGACATCTTCTTCTCTTGAGCCAAACGGTGCTGAACCATCCCAGGCTGCATAGAAACCCAAGCACGCAGCCACTCCGTGTGCCTACGTCCCTGAAAATCAAGCGGGACACCAACACTATGTTTGTACAAATGAGAGCAGAGGGGGGAAAAAAAAATCATTAATGTCCATCACCAAAGATATTTTTCTTTCACTAATAACACCCATTAGCTCCTCCAAAGAGAACAATCCCTGTGCTTCGGCTCTGAAGGAACACAGAGTTTTTAAGCAGGCACAACAGAAAGATTTTACAGAATTCAAGCATTCAACAGGACTAATGTGAAAGATTACTTTGCAATTATCCAAGCAATTTTCTCTCCTCATTGTCCCTGGACCATAAGGGTTTTTTAAATGCAAGCAGAAGGATTTATTCACCACAATAATAATAAAACAAAATATGAAATCAATGTATCTCTTCTCATGAAGCATAAAGCTCACGTTGCTATTAAGTTTAGCAGCATTGTGTCACATAAAGCACACGCAGTTTGCGTACTTAAATACCATCTTCCCCTTTTATTTTTCCCTTCCCTAATTCCTAACACATTATCCTTCCATTTGTCCTCTAAACACGACTGGATTCAAACAACACAGCATTGCTTCTTATTAGAAGCTTTATGCTTGTGCTCTAAGAGTGCAGTTGGAGATTTACATATAACACTGACCAATAACAGTGCCGAGATAACAGAGGAGCCCTAAAATAAAGAAATTAATATTAATTTGGGGAGAAGGAATTTCCTAAAAGTAACAGAGCCAATATGCAAGTGAATAGTTGGGCACCAGAAGGGACATCAGTCTTTGAAGCTCTTGCTTCTTCAGTGTGGCTGGGGAAGAAATCAGCCCACACACAGCCCAAACCCACTGCAGCCTCCAGAGCACAGACACTCACAGTCACACTCGCCTTGGCTTACGTGTTCCCCCATCCCTTGTAATACAAAGTGATAGATGTCTTTTGAGGCCCTTAACACCTGCACAGCACAGCTTCAGTTGGTCCCTCTCTTGTTTTCATGAAAGATTTATCAGGAAAAGCAGAGAAACAGTCCCTATTTAGCTATTTATAAGGTGCCACCTGTCCTCACCGTGTGACACTTCAACGCCTAAGCAAAGATTTTCAATAAAAAGGAACCCCTAGCTCTAAGCCCTGAGATTCCTATCAGGCTCCCTACACTTATTGCTTCAAGAGCACCGCATTCTCAGCACCTGCAAAGACCCCAGTTTTTTTTACCATTTAGACTCCTACCTATCAGCTCCTGAATTGCACAAGCAGAAGGCTGCAGACTGATTTCTCATGACAGCAGTTCATTTCACCTGAATTTCAAACCAGCATTTGGAGAAGACAAGCCAAAGCATTCTCATGCAAACACCTAAATGAGCCAGATGAGTCATGCCTTTCATCTCCCTGTTTTTTGCCACAGATAAAGAGGCCAGATCAGGTACAGACATCTCCAAGGCTGCAAGATGAACGCTGTCCCGATGACTAAGCTGCACTGACGCACTCCAGAGCTGCCACAGCCAGCTTGAATGCGCAAACCCCACCAGGAAGCGAGCCCATAATATCAATATCTTTCTTACCATGATTGGAACACCAATGTCTGGCCACAAGAGATCCTCAGAGGGAAGCTTGGGAGAGTTCCACACTACCACAACTTTATTTAAGTATGGGAGACCATTGAGCCTTTCTAGGGAGTTCATCAAAACTTCCTCCCGCTCGTAAGTTAGCATCACCACTGTGAACTGCTCCCGGGGGACGTTGCCACCCAAAGCAGCCTGGAACTCCTTCCCAGAGCCGCCTGCTCCTCCTCCTATTGGTCGAAATCCAGTCCCAGACCCTAAAAACTTTGCTTCCGATGGCAAAACAGGGTCAAAGGGAGTATAGGGAAAGAGGTGAAAAGGCCCCGGAGCGGAATTCCAATTCCTGTAGATGTCCATTGCAGTGAGGGTGAAGTTGCGGAGATATTTGGGAGATGCATAGGGTGGTTCTGTTTCCACAGGCCCTAAGTCCAGGTCACCGTTGTCTGCCATGTTGGGGTCTGTACCAGCAGCTTTGCCAGATCGGTGAGGAATCTCCACTGCAGTTTCTTCTCGGATAGGAGCAGCCGGGATTTGGATTCGAGTCCTTATGATAGCCAAGACTGTGCTGAACACGTTATCAGAGGTGGAGAAGTAAGTCTCCCACAAGAAGCGGCCCTGCCTCCTCATGGCAAGCAGATCATTGTCAGAAATGCTTCTCAGAAGAAAGTGCACTTCTGTGATACGTGGCTTTGGTATGATTAAGGCTGCCTCGTTCCACCGGATCACGTCGTTGTAGGGTAGCTGGACTTGCTCTCCAAGAACCACCGGGATGGCTCCGACTTCCAGAGCCTCAAACAGTCTCATGGCACACCCAGCGGAGATCACTAACCGGGTGTCCCCGGGGGTGATTATCAGTGCAAAAGTAGATAGCTTCAGTAGCTCTAGTCTGTCGTCCCTTTCTCCACACAGAGCCCACTCAGTGGGCAGACTCGCCTTAGGCTGGTTCTTACACGTGAACTCCACCAAAACAAAGTCCAGCTTGCTGTCCTGAACAGCCTTCAAGGTGGTGATAATGCGATCATCGTAGTCAGCCGGGGCGTTGCCTTCTATCTCCTCTTCGAAAGAGCGAACTTCTTGCAAGCTAGATCTGAGAGACTCAATCTTCTCCCCCTGGAAACTAAACAGGTATTTACGCTTGACTGGCACCTGGGGTGGGATCTCTAGGAAGTTAGGTTCAGACATAGCATGGACCAGAGGTGACACCACAATATCAAAGCCCGGTCGATACTGCACATCATAAAACGTAGACTGGGCAAGCATGGCACGCCCCGTGCTGATGTTGTAAAGAAAGTTCTGAGTTTCTGACTTCCTGGACAAATTGATGATGAGATGGTTATGTCCATCAGTCCTCCAATATGGCAAAGAGTGCAACTGTTGCTCTAGTTCAGTAGGTTTTGGCATTACGGGCTCTTGCATTTCCCCCACTAAAATTATATACACACAAGCAATATTTGCATTCTCAGTAACATAAACATTAGTTCTGACAGTCGCCTCAAAGGCTTGTTTAATTAAAGGGTCTAAGGAACTACCAAAAGGGTAATCGTCACTGTTGTAGACATAGACTGGAAAGCCAGATGTCAGCGGGCATCGCGAGTAGTCAAAACAATTGTGCAGCCTGCAGTTCCGATTGGATTTTGGCAGGGGAAAGGTCGCATCGTCTTTGTCTGGCAGCAGCCGGATTGGCAAGGAGAGCTTTGGCTGGTTCTGAGCCATCAGTTCTTTGTAGGAATGCTCAGTCTGGCTGATGACGTTCTTCAGCTGCAGCAGGTCCTGCTTGGCATTCTCGATGCTCTTTTTGCAAGCCTCAATCTTCAAGTTGAGCTTGGCAATCTCACTGTTGAGCTCTTGCCGCTTGGCCTCCAGCTGCAGCAGCTCCTCGCTGACTGACTCGCGGATGCGGCACAGGTCCTGCACGTGCTTCACCTCGCACAGCTCATTGCCAGTCCGAGGGCCAAAGATGCGCTTGCCGGCATCATCTGCGTCATCGATGGTGGTCAGGTAGTAGTGCCCGATAAGGGGAAAAAAGACAAGGATGACAAAGAGGATGAAACTCAGCCAGGTAAGCCGGATCCGACTGGACCACCTCAACAACCACGGCTGGCCTCCGTTCCCCACTCCCCCATTCCGCAACATCGTATATCCAGTCATGAGTTCAGCAGTCACCGCATGCCCAGTCACGTTGGATCAGTAGCCATAACCAAAAGAGTTTGTATAGCAAGTCTCTACAAAGAAACGTTACTGCGCCCGCTTAATGAGAAGCCAATAGAACGGGAATTTCATCTTGTTGTGACGATGGCTCCTCGGTTGGACTTGACCTTGCCCATGCTCTGCCGACCCGTGGTCTGCAGGTAACCTGCTGGAAGTGTCACAGCGTTCTCATGGCGACTCAAAGACTCCACCAGCAGAGGAAAAGCACGACGGGATCAAGGCAAACTCTACCGCTGCTCTCGACATCCTGCATTATCATCATCCAATGAATGTGCAGGGGCACCAGCCATTGTGGAGAACGAGCCAGAAGAGACTCGTACCAGCGCCAGGCTCATCGCTGCTGTGTGGCTGATGCTCTGCTGTTCCTACAAGAGAACAATCACATATTCAGACAGTGCAAACAAAACGACCCCGCAGCGACCTGAGACACTGCTAGTTTTTAAAACCAGCTGTCCTCTCTACAAAAGAGCAACCTTTGTGCATGTTTAGCACCTCTGGGGCTAACAGCAGTAAACCTGAGAAAGCGATGGGATTCATTAGATCCGGACACGTGGCCTTCTCTGAGCACTCTGTTTTTCATTAGGGTTGCACGCTTCAGTGGCCAGATCAGAAAATCACAGCCCCTGGATCTGGTTTCCTACTTTACCCACTGTCTTGCTGTGAAGCCTTGGAGAAGCTGCCTAACATCTGCAGGTCTCTGCCCCCTTCTGTACTAAGTGGGGATATCAATGTACCCCTGCTCTCTCTGCCCCCCTCTTAATGGCATGTTGAGATTCTGAGACACAGCAGAGCTGTAAATTCATGCTGCATAACTGAGCATAATCGCTCTTGTTCTGCTCTAATGACTAGAGCTGATAAGGAATTTTTAGACAAATTGTTTTCCTTGCCCTTCCTGCAGGAAAATTTTGATTCATTGCAACAGGAAGTTTAAAGACCACCTACTCAGTGTTGGCTATGACATCTCTGCAGGTTCACTGCACATTGGAGAAAACTTCTGGCCAAAACTGAAAAAGGTGCCTGTATACAGTGCCTGGCTAAGGCTCTGAACTAGCAGCAAGGGCATAAAACCCACCTTAAAACACCGGGATGTGACACATTCAGCACTCGGCCACATGCAGATGCTGCTATAAGAAACTCTCCCTGCCTTTTAATTAGCATCAAGGTACCCACGTTTCTCAGATATTCCTTCATACATGGGAATTCCCACATCACTGATGAATACAGCACTGTCCTGCACAGCCTCGTGAGAAGCTTATTCATTTCCACTTCAATTTTTAATTAGAGGAAAGTCATCTACATTGCTGATGGTCATTTTTCACTAAACTTGTTCATACTCCTCTCCTTTACTCATTTGAGGATTGGCAGAAAGAAGACAGGGAAGCAAACTGCAGCTACAAGAGGGTCAAAGCAAACAGAAGTTCACCTTAAAGAAGCAGAGAATGAATAAACTTCAGTGTAGTACACAAATGCATCCGAAAAATGAAGTGAACACTTGATTTTAAGCAGAAAAAAATTGCAACTAAAGGGAAGCAAGTGGGCTAACAGTGCACAGCTCCTAGGTTTGTTTTGTTACAAGGCAATTTGTCTGTGGTAACGTAATGCTGTAGACTAAATGAGAATCCTCCCCCAAACTGGACCTGCAACTGGGAGATGCACAGTAGTTAAAAATTAAAGCAGCTTTTAAACTCATAATATTGCCTGACAAACAACACTGGTGTAAATCTCAGAAAGCCAGGAGGATAAAAGGACTAAAAAGTCAGGAAAAGGCAAAATCAGCTTTCTCAGACCTTGGCAGTGCTGTCACTGAGGGCAGATGGGGGAGGCTTGGGCTCTCTTGGCAGAACATTTTAATGCTCTTCTCTGTACAGCAGCCTCCATTTGCCTGGGCTGAGAGTGGCTGGTGATGAATGTAAATCCCCAGCTCTTCTGCACGAGGCTGTCAGTCAGACACAGGAAGCCCTGGCAGTAGCAGCGCGCTTGCATTGTGCCGCTGGGACCGCTGCTATACAACAGAAGGGTTTTAGCATGCACCAGTGTACAAAGCAGCTGACTGAGTGAGGCAAAAAAAAAAAAAAAAAAAAGCTTTTAAAGCCTGTATTTTATTTTTAAGCTCTCCCCAGGAAAGGAAGCTCTTGCTGGTACTGTCCGTGCATGCACAGTCTGTCAGTCCCTGCAATTCCAACGCTGTCTCAAAGGGTCCGCAAAGATCCTAGAATTGCAAACACTTGTCTGCAAACAGCTGGACAGGAGATGAGAGTTGCTCTATTAATGCTTCTGAGAGAAAAGCCGAAACACATGCTCATTGGAACACCTGCAAAGCTAAGAAACAGCTCAACTTCAAGGTATGCACAGGAAAAACAAGGTCTGCTGTTTCTGCTTTGGGGATGACACTGGGGTGAACACAGTTAAATCCTGCAAGAAGCTGAGACAATACAGGAACAAGGGAACACAAATGTGACCAAAAAATGGCAGAGGAGGTTTGTGCATGTGCTTCTTCTGACTGGCCAGAGAAAAAACATGGCTCCACAGGCAGTGAAGGCAGACCCAAAGACCATCAGGTTAGACTGCATCTAAACCTTGTTCCATTTTAGCAGTGCTGCCTATTTACAAGCTCCAAACAGTAATGAAGTAGCAAAGTGAACTCTCTAAAATGGCATCTGGTGTCCTTGGAAAGCTAAATCCAGGCCATCACCCCACACATGATCCTCTACAGCTGTTCCGCCATCTAATCCTTCCAGTGGCTCCTCTGTTCCTGCTCCTTCAGTAGGCACATAACAAACTTTATCCTCCTGGCCTAAAAACGAGGGCTGTGAATTAAAACAATCTGCGTGCTCAGAAACCTGAAGCTGACAAACGAACTCTGCTGTTAGCTCAGAAAAAACCACACAGGAGAGAGCGGAGGAGGCTGCACAGGGATATGAAATGCAACATGCATGGCTTGGGATCAGTTAGAAGTATTGACTATCAGTATGAAACACGTGCCGGTGACAAAGAAAGCACTTTAGACGCTCTTTCTGACTCTTCTTCATTACAAAGAGTTCATTCCTCATCAACTAGATAGAGCCTGAGGTTGTAACAAAGCGCTTTTATCTTTTTTAAGTCCTAATAATGAAGTAAAAACTCAATCAGCTGTTTCACTAAGGGAGACTTCAGTGTTTTATTTCAAAGGAATAAGCTGCCCTGGTGAAAAAGATTGGTGATTTCTGTAGTTCCCAAAAAGAAGTTTGGGAGGAAGAGAAAGATAGCAGTTGCTGGGTTCTCCCTCCCAAGCACTATTTAATCCCAACTGAGTCCCACACTGAGAAACTCCTGTTGACATTTTAACACAACATTGCTGCCTTATAGAGCTAATTACATACACACAAAAAGAGGCAAAGAAGAGCTCTTGGGAAATCAGAAGCTCAATAATTACCACAGCCTCTTCCCAAATGCCAATCTGACTGACTTCTTTGGCACGACATGTTTGCATGCTGCAGTTTCTTCTCCCACAGCACAGGGCTGCAAAACTAAATTGCTGTTCATGCATGCTGCCACATCTTTGTTCAAATCCAGGGATATTTTCCCAGTGGGTGTTCTCTGTGCCGATGTAGTTAGAGGAATATTTGGGGTTCTCCTGCTTTTTGCATTTCTAGCAGAAAGCACCAGGCTGGGTGCTAGTGAAAGTCATTGCCCCCATGGCTCTGCAAGTGTTCAGTAACGAAAGCCCCTCTGCAGACACGACACATGATCCTGTTCCTCCTCCTTGTCCCTCCTACTTGTCCCTCCTTCTGTCCATCTCCCCATATAATATGAAATATTGTCTTCTTGTCAGCATACCTGAGAGTGGAAACTTTAAACTCACATAGCAGAGCATACCTAAAGGTAAATCACCATGCAGAGTATGGTGACACAGGTACAAATGACTGCAACAAGCAACCCAAGTGGAAAACCTGCAGGGATCCTACACCAGAGCTCCCAGACTCTGTGTGCACCTCTATCCATCCTCAGTCTCCTCCTGTCCTGCTGATAAGCCTGCAGAGTTATCACTGCAATGCTGTCACCAGAAACATCCCCCTGTGCTGGGACTCCCATCAAAGAGAACCTCGGTACCCACCTCTGTCACACAGGTTTCCCTCCTGATGAACTGTGAAAGTCAGGGCGCTGTGTTAGTGGCTTCTTTGCTTCTCTCCTCTGACTCGAACAGACAGTTCCTATTGCCAAATCCCTTTTTCACCAGCACTAAAAATGAAATCAAATAAAAATCACATTTTTTTTTACAGCAGTAAAAAGGGTAAACCATTCTCTTTCTGCTAAAGCAAGAAGATCCAGCACATTGCCACCCTCCTTCTTGGCAACAAGGAAGAGCGTTTCCAGTGAAACGGAAAAGAAATGAACACAAAACAGCCCTCCAGCAACGATAACTTTCAACTTCCTAATTCTCATAAAGAATAGGATTACACTCCAAATCTCCAATCACTTTTGGAACAGGAGCATTTAGAGGATTTTCCTCCTGCAATTGAACAAGGAAAGTAAATCTATTAGGTGCATGCTTTAAGGGATGTTTGAGAGCAGATCTTTAAAAGCAGCAGATGGAAAATTCACTCTGAAATGCTTTGCGTGCTGCAGCCTAAAGGATCATCACTGGGGATTTGTAGCATCTCAGGAGCTCACAGGTACAGAGAAATACTCCTAGGCAAAGATCAGAGCTGCAACACATAACCAGCAAAAGATCTTGTAATCTCTACACTTAGGGGATAAACTGCACCCTCTGCTTTATAAAGCTTTTCTCCCAACCAAGAAAAGTTCCTGCCTCTGTGTGGAGCCAAACCTGCTTCCAGTCATGTTCCCTGCACACAGCAAAATGGTTCTGGGCAAATACTACCAGAGAACCCCTCAGTGCCCTTTCCAGGAAGTAATCCATAATAACTTGCTGTATTCCCCTTATATTCACAAAAGGGAAGCCAGACCACAAGCACAGGGCTCCTGGACGCTGGATTTTAGCTCAGCCACTTCACCAGGCTCTTACATGGTGTTTGGAGGCGTTGTATGTCTGGAGGCAGAAAGAGACCCTGCAGCTGATCTGGATAAAGGAAAGAAACGCAACCTAAACAGAAAACATAGGGATTTAGATAGAGGTATTTGGAGTAGTTCAGAAGTGGCACTCAAGGACAAAAATCCCTGGAGAGCAGCTTTCTAAGCTTGTGTAGAACTCCTTGAAGCTGGTTGTGGAGCCCCAGGTTCAAGATCAGACTTCCTCACAAGCAATTTCCACTTCTGAAGGGCAAGAAAATCTGGAAGAAGAATCAACAGCCAACTAACCCCAACAGGCAAGTCCCCACAAAGTAGCTTGGCTTGTACTTCAGCTGATGCTTTTGAGAGCTTATGACTGATGAATGGGGAAAACAAACCCCAAAAGAGAACCAAGACATGGAAGTGAAACCAAGTTTTGCTTTCTCAAGGTCATCATCACAGGAAGGAAATGAAGAAAAGGAGAGGGAGAGCTGGGATAAGTGTGGCGGACAGCTTGGGAAGGAAAGAAGGACCAAAAGGGTAGTGGCTCCTCCTAATGATTCCTTACAATCCCAAATCCCTCCCGAGTCAAACCTTCCAGGGCCCCAGCATCAGCAGAAGGAAAAAGTACACGGCCACTACCTGCTTCAACAAAGCTAGTCCCTTTGATAGGGGGCAAAAAGACATCCACAACCCAGGTTCAGAGACTTCCAGGAGGTCCTCTCCAACCAAACCTACTGCATGACAACTTGTCCCAGGTCAGTACAGAGACTGTGCCAGCTCAGGATTCAATACATATCTAACTGCCTGCCTGCAAAACAGTCCACCTTCCAGCCTGCCTTCTTCCACTGCTTTCCTTCTCCAGTACCTTCCTGCTTTTTGCATAATGCATTGTGCAATCTACTTTACATATAGAGCTTTTAGTTCTTAAATTTATTATTTAGTGCTGTTTTCCGGTAATAAAGCAGGAGTATTGTTTTATTTAGTCTTGCAGCCTGCACACGAGCACTTCTCTCTACAAAGAAGTACACAGCTTACAAGTGAATCCTTTTATGTTCTGCAGCACTGAACAGCAGAACAACCTGAACACAAAGCTCTTCAACTTCCTAGTCTCTGAGCAAGAAATCACAGAGCAGAGCTTTACAAGGAACCTGGTAAATACAGTCAGAGTGGCTGGTGTGGTACTGCTCTCTGTGCTCCCATTTATAAAGTTCTAAAAGATTTTGGGCACTTGGGAAGCAAATTGAGGAAGCAGCTACCTTGCTCCATCACGTGCACAACCTGCATGAGGAGTAGGTGCATGACTGCTATCTTGTTTGTTGCTGAAAGGGATAAATCAGGTGTAGGAGGAGCAGAAGGCTATTTCTACTTTCACCTTGAAGCAATGAATGAACAGGCACTGTCTGGAGGTAAAACCACAGCAAAGAGCCGGGCGCTTCAGAGAGAAGCACACAGAGGTGAGCTGCAGGCAGGAGGAATGGGCAGCTGTTCCCAATGCTGACTGTGAGACAGCTCCAGCACTCAGGATTCACTGTGGCTTCGAGCCCCAGATAGCTGCGGCACTTTATTTTCCCCAGGGCTAAAATACAAACCTCTCTCACCTCCCTGAACACCACCAGCACTGCCTCCTTGGCAGCAAACAAGCACACAGAGGAGTTCAGGCTCCTGATCTCAGACAGATGCTTCAAGTTGTAATTAAGCACAATTTTCAACTTCTTCATCCCAATTGAGTTATAAGAAAAAGGCAATATTGCCTAAAAAGCACAGAAACACAGTGTTAAACATCACCTCACTCAGCAGGGAGGGCCACATCCCATCCCAAAGGGAATTTTGTAAAGCTGTCCCATTTTTTTGCATGCAGGATGGAGGCAGCATCTCCACGGAAGGGCTCTGAAGGAGGTCTTCCCACTTCTATCCGTGCTGCCACACACATCTCTCAGCAACCTTTTCCCTCGTCCCAGAGAGGTTTCTGATGCACGGGGCGGGCAGCCCAGCAGCGAGCTGATGGCCTACTGCACTTTTTGGAGAACGTTTCATTGCCACGGAAGTGGAGGCCGCTCTGTTTCAGACAGCCTGATCAATCATGCCAAATAACTCAATTACCCGACGCGCTGTAATCACCCATATTTATACAGCAGGCGGATTCTTATCCGACACAGTTCATTACGAGGCAAACGAGAAATTCAGATGCACAAACACAACTATTGCCAGCACTCTATTAATTTCAGCTCGATTCAAACAGGGTCCCTGTGGGTAACAAACCCGTTTCTCAATACCAGACACTCCAGTCACACATTCCCAATTAGGCAAGGGACATTAAATGCCTTTCTACTGCACTCGCAGGTGGATAACGCAGCAGGAACAGTGGTCCAAGGAGTGAAGTATCTTTCCTGCCTGCAGAGGTTTCAGGAGAAAGATGTCACCAAGTAACTGTGCCACCACCTCCATCGGGCTCGTTGGAACTCTGCCAGCATCCCAGCCATGCTGCCTTAGAATCACAGAATGGTTGGGTTGGAAGGGATCCTAAGGATGAAGCTCCAACCCCCCTCCACATGCAGGGCCACCAACCTCCCCATTTCATAGCAGCCCAGGCTGCCCAGGGCCCCATCCAACCTGGCCTTGAACACCTCCAGGGATGGACGGGGCATCACAGCCTCTCTGGGCAGCTGTTCCAGGTTCTCATCATTCCCATAGTAAAGAACTTCCCCCAGACATCAAATTTAAGCCTTTCCTCCTTGAACTGCCTTTGTCACACTGGTGGCACTTCTGCATGGGTAGACCTGGAACCACATATACCCACGTACATTTGTCCAGATATGAGAATGGAAATGAACTGTTCAGAGAAACTGAACCGGAGAAGTCACACTGCCAACAAAACCCACCATCAGAGCAGGACTGGCTGGGGAGCAACCACCCTGTCCTCATCCCAGGGCAGAAGTATTACTGAATGTAAGTGCAGCTATAGATCTAATCGTGGAATACCCTGAGTTGGAAGGGACCAACAAAGATATTCTGCCCTTTCCTCTGCTCAATCTGAGAGCTCCCCAGAGCACAGCCCAGCCATGCCACTGGTGCACAGTGCCCAAGTGCTGGCTGAAAGCAATGCATCCCACAGCTTCCTACTGTAAAGACACTGCCATGCCAGGCATATCCAGGGTAGGATGTGCAGATGTGGAAGTTAAAAATAAGCAAAGAACAAAACATGGTGCCTGAAGCTTGTGGGAGTGCATAACGAGGTTATTAACAACACAAAAGTGTACGATGGAAGATAAGCACTAGCAGAATGCACTATAATTAAATTTTTACAGAACGGAGTTGTTGCCTGGGTTTGAAATGCTGGCTAATTTAATGCCTGCTGCATGCTGGTTTATCAGTGGTGCCCATTGCTTTGCCTGCAAGAAACACAAGCAGCAAGCCTAGTCTCTAATCAAGCTGTGTGTTTGGAGAATGCTACCACTCAGACCCCAAAAGGGGAAGGATGGAAGACATCCCACTCTGCCACACATTCAGGGAAAAGCAAGGACTGCTGCCATAACAGACAGGAAAAAGTGGTCAGGAATGAAAAGACAAGGAACACTGGGGGACACGTGCAGTAAGAAAAAGCTGTTGCAGCCCAGTTGTGCAGCTTTTCTGCCAAATGAAGCCTAAGAAAGATCAGGGGAAGAAGGATGGAAGGAACTTGGCCATCACTGGAGGTGAAGGAAGGAATTAACTTTACACCTGCACAAGCGAGGCTCCATCACTGAACAAGATTAGATGGGCTTTGGCAAGCCACAGGTCATAAAAGTGGAGCTAAGGGTCAAATGGAATCTGCCTAGAAATAAATTGCTAAATCAAATCTAACCAACTCACCACCTTTTTAATAATGTGGCTCTGTATCAGTGCACCCTGCAGCCCGTGCTGAGGTTCCCAGTGAGGTTCCCCTCCCCTGCAGCCCTTTAAGCTTTCCTGCATATCCGAAACTGGAAAGTTTTTGGTTTTGGTGAGAAAAAGAAAAAACAACTCCTTAATGGCAGAACTCCCTACTTTTATCAAATTCCTGCCATACGTAACTCTGATACGTTATTTGGACTCCTGTGGTTTCCAGCTCATGCCCAGAGCTCAAGGAGCACCACCAGCCCACCACACCCCCAGGAGCACAAATGTGATCCCCCACTCACACTGACATGTTCTCCATCCCCACATATTATGCTGCACATTCCTTACCAAACTCCTGCACCTCTGAGCTG